AGCAGGGCTTCACAGGCTGGCTTTGAACTCACAATTCTTTTGCCTCAGTCTCTTGAATGTGAGTGTTGTGCCATTGAAGGTGATCACCATGTCTGGGTGCTGAGTCTCTTTTTTAAATCCTTGCTATTGATTTCAATAGGCCTCACTTGTAACTTGGTGAACTGAACTGATTGTCTCCTTCCATTCCTCTTCCAGAATTTTATGTTTTCATTCTCTTACTCAGTTTTGCAGGCTTACAGTCCCTTGTTCCAGGCCCTCTAAGAGGCCTGCTTGTTTTCAGATCTCTGGCCCCATGCTAAGAACTCACCCATTGCCTTTGCTCTTACACATAACTTAATAAACTTATCAGGCTGGTGTGACATTCCTTTAGCACATGACAGTCTTTCAGCATGTGACTCCTCTAGCAAGGGCCAGTTGAGGATGTGGCTAGGAAATAATGCTTTGAAGTGGCCTCCTGCTTTCACTCAGCTGCTAGGGCTTTGATCCCAGTGGGTGTCACTCTGCTGGGGTGAAGAGAGTTGTGGGGACCACCCGGGCTTGTGAAATCGCAGGATCTGATGCCTAATAATGACCTCTAATGACTGCCCCAGGAGGTACAGATGAGCTGTGACAAGTGCAAAATGATAATGGTCCTTCGAAAAACCACAGAGAGCTGGGACAAGTGACAGGAGTTTATCCATAATCCCAGCTCTTGCAAGGCAAAGGCCCAAGGATTGCAAATGTCAGGCTGGCTTGGGCTACACAGACCCTGTCTCAAAATCAAATCAAATCAGAATAAAACAAAGGGAAAAAGGAAAGAAAAGAGAAATGCAGCACAGAATTGGGTGCAGAGAGGAAGTCAAAGTCTTGTAAGACAGGTTTTATCATTGTGAATATATACCACTGAAATCCTAGCAACTCAGGAGGCTGAGGTCTGAGGATCCTGATTAGAAGTCAGCCAGGGTCGACAATTCAGACAGGCTTTGAATCTCCACTTAGCCAACAAAAAGATGGAAATGGAGATGTGGCTCAAGTGGTAAAAGCACCCAGCCTGAGTGAAAAAGGAAAGCAAGAGCATGGGGCTCTGAGTTCAAGCCCTTAGTACAGATATTAAAAAAGAAAAAGAGATCACATCCGGTGAAGATGATAGGTAAATAGATGATACATTGGATAGATAGATCACTTGAGCTAAGGAGACAGGAGGTGAATAATGAGTGAGGCTGGAGAAGAGGAGTCTGCGGGAGGTGCTATGGGGAGCTGGGGAGACTCTTACAGTCTAGGGAGTGTGAAGGATCTCGCCTGGAGAGGGACAGGAACTGCAACTCGACTTCTAAGGTCAAGTTTAGCTACAGGAATAGCTACTCTTCAGGACCTTGTTTTACTGTAAAACGTGAGTCTGTCTACAGTGTCCTAGCTCAGACTTAGGTTCAGAACTCTTCCCAGCTGTCTATTGCTGGCTCTCTCTGCATGGGTTTGCTTAACCTAATCTCGACAGATCCCTACCTGGGTAGCTTGACAGCCTCTTCCAGACAGAAGTGCCTGTCCCAACCAGGCTAGGGACAGCAAGGAGCGGTGAGTTTTGTGTGCTGCTGTCTTCTGTTGGGAAGACATCTTTGAAGAGTGAATATGACTTGGGGGGAAGGGAATGTTTCTTATTTCTGTTGGATAGAAATTATTGAAACTTGTGCAGGCTTATTATTCTATTTCTTCACTGGCTGACAGTGCGAATTCCCAAATGACTGAAATTTGAAGCCCAAGTGTGTGCACCTGCGTGTGTGTGTCACTCATAGCAAGTAATAAAAGGTTGATAATATTGCCTGGTGCCACTGACTCAGGCTTATAATTCTAAATCCTCAAGGTTCAAAGCAAGCCCAGGCAGACAAATCTGAGAGACGTATCTCCAACTAATCCGCAAACCCCAAAAAACAACAACAAAACCCCCCTGGAACTAGAGTTGTGGCCTAAGTGGTAGAGTGCCAGCTATGACAAGGCTCTGGGTTTAAGCTCCAGCACACACACACACACACACACACACACACACACACACACACACATGTATGTGCACACTACACAGTAAATGAAGTAATGAGAATACTAAATTGTTTTTGTCCTTCACACAAAAGAATTGAGAGTTGTCTGTACAAGAAAATCAACTAGTCTTTCCTTTTCTGTGCGACTGCAGCTTTTTAAAGGTGGCCAAAGTTTTTTTTTTTTTGGTCTATTGTGGGGTTTGAACTCTGGGCCTGAGCATTGTCCTTGAGCTCTTCAGATCAAGGCAAATGCTTTACCACTTGAGCCACAGCACCACTTCCAGTTTTCTGGTGGTTTATTGGAGATAAGAGTCTCATGATCAAAAAAAAAAAAAAAAGTCTCACGATCTTTCCTGCCCAGGCTGGCTTTGAACCATGATCCTCAGATCTCAGCCTCCTGAGTATCTAGGATTACTGGTGTGAGCTACTAGTGCCAAGCTGAAGTTGCAAGATTTGTGTTCATATCAATTGAAGACACCTCATTTCCTGATTGACTCCCTTCCTCGGGGACTCCTGTGTTCTCCCCAATGTGAAACACCTTGCAGGGTTGGCACCTAATGCTTTCAGGGGCTGTTTGTCAAATGAACTGAAGGAATTCATATGTTTCAGGTATTTGCTATGAGGGTCCATTTTTGTATTTCCATGCTTTGTGGTTCTCCTGGGATGAACTGCTTGACTCTATGAATGTTTCAAGGACTCAAATATCTTTCTAACACAAGATCTGTTCTTGTATGTTTCTAGATTGTCAAAAGAAAAGATATACAAAGTGCAACTCTGTTTCTTGGATCAAAAAGAGCAACTTTGAAGTTCAGATGGTTCTATTTAGGCAGTTTCTATCTGTACAGTTAAGTTGAAAACAACTGCTAGCTGAGAAACCATAAAGTATTATCATGATCTTTGTACCCATTGCCTTTTTCTGATAAGAGAGAAGTGATAAAAAAAAAAACAAACCCCTAGGGATTCTCAGCAGTTTCTTGAACATTAAGGTTTTTTTTTTTAAATTAAAGTGCTGGCTATCTGTGAGTCCAAAGGCATTGTAGCATGCTTTCATATGGCCCTCAGTCTCCCTCCTGAGCTCACCTACTATTTGTTAAGGAATAGGGGAGGATTCATGGATACTGTAAGAATTCCAAGAGGCACACTGTGTTTTATGTACTTGCCTAGGTTTGGGGAGCAGAACCTTAGAAAGAAATGCTTCCTTTTCTGACCCCTGGGGAACAACTCCCAGCAAGTTGGTCATAATCTATTGTGTGGTGTAAAGGGATTCAGAAATAAAAGGTAAGGTTCTGCAATGAGTGTGAGCAAGTGACCTTAGTCTAAAGCAGATTGAGCCCAGGAGGGTGGAATGGCTTATGGTATCTTTCTTTTCCCTCCCTCCCTCCCTCTTTCCCTTCCTTCTCTCTCTCCTTCCTTCCTTCTTTCCTCTCTTTTCCTGGGCCTTGAACTTAGGGTCTCATGTTCTCATTTGGCTTTTTCACTCAAAGCTAGAGCTCTAGTTCTTAAGCCATACCTCCACTTCTGGCCTTCAACTGGTTAACTGGAGATAATAGTCTCTCAGATTTGTCTGCTTGGGTTTTCTCTATTTTTTTTTCTCCTTTCTCTTGTTGTTCCAGTCTGGGGCTTGACCTTCTGGCCTTAGCCTTTTCTTCTCTCTGTGTGTCCTTCTCTATGTGCCTGTGTCTGTCTGTCTGTCTGTCTCTCCCTCCTCCTCCCTCTTCTGGGTGTGTTCTGGTACAGGGGCTTGAATTCAGGGCCTGGACTCTGCCCCTGAGTTGCACAAGGGGGTACTAGTTGAGCCACAGATCCACTTTGGGCTTTTTGTATGTTAATTGGGGATAGTCTTCAGGCTTTCCAGCCCTGGGTGGCTCTGAACTGCAATCCTCAGATCTCAGCACGAGTAGCTCGGACTACAGATGTGAGCCACCAGCACCATTGCTGTGCAGTCTCTGCTGCCTCAGAGCACACGGGAGGCCTTCCTCCTACCTCCTTGGTCAGCCTGTGCGTCTGGAGGCTGACCTGGAGGGAGAGGCTGCCTTAAAAGGCTCTTAGGGCCTCAAGATGAAACTGCCCTGTGGGGAGAGACTGTGCAACGCACTCAACTCCCTCGAGGATGACCTTGGCCCGAAGGTGGTCTCTCCTCAGACGCCCCTCTCGGTGGGGGTCTGCAAACCCCACCTCCAGCCCTCAGGCTAGGCCTGGCAGCAGCCAGAGGATCCGGCTCCACGTGTGGTGTCCGGCTGACGTATCCCCACGGGTAACGAGGACGCCTGTTCCCCACCGACATCTTCGCTGACTGCCCTCAGGGGGCCAACCCAGCCCAGGGCGGACACGTGACCCGGTCCTCCGCGAGGAGCGCAAGGACCCCTGGGTGGTACCAGGGCCGGACGGCCCCTCCTCTGTCGGACACCTCCGCATAGACTCCTCTCCAACTTCTAACTCACTATGCACAGCGCGGGGCTCGAGGCGAAAGCCACCTTCCTCCTCACACGAGGCGAGTCTGCAGTCCCATTTCACGTGCTGACTTTCAGGTCCCACGCGAAGGGCAGCGCGACGCGACAGCGGTCTCGAGCAGGTGGTCAGTGCGGTGTCCAGCTGGGCTGGTGACCTGGCTCAGACGCACGCGACAGTCCAGGCCCGGGGGCAGCGCTGGCGTGCTCAGCCCTCCTCCGCACAGGCTCCGCTAGGCAAGGATGGAGGTGGCGTCCGCCGTCCCGCACTGGTTCCTCGAAACGCAGAGGGCTCGCGGAGGCGAGCAGCCTTTGCATCCCTTCGAGGCCCGTCTTCCCCTGAGCTGAGGGCGGGTACCACACCCGCCCGCCCGGCCAGCGACCAGCAGCTCCACGCCGCGCGCGCCGCTGCGGCCCGGACCAGCGGCCGGGCGGGCGGGGCGAAGGTAAGGCTCACGCGATTGGTGCTCGGCCTCCCGCCTCAGCCAATGGACGGCGAGCGCGGCCCGGGGCGGGGCGGACGGCGCGTCTTAAGCAGTGTGACGCGCCCCGCAGCAACGCGCCGCTCAGCTCCGTCCTGACGCCGCCGCCCCGGGTCCCTCCTGTCTCCGCGGAGCCCTCAGGTACGGTGGGTGCCGGGTGCTGGGGCTGGGGGCGTCGGGCTGCGGATCCCGGCCGCTTCGGGGGATTCCCGTGGCGCGCTGGGCCTCAGCCGGCGCGCAGGTCCAGGCTCCGAGAGGCTCCAGCCGGGCGGCCTGGAGCCCCCGCCGGAGG